ATGTCCTGCGTCACACGAGGCAGCGGAGCAGGAACCTCATGGAGCTAACTAGTTGAGCTGGATACCCGGCAGGGGGCCTCGTGTGTAGCTGCTGGACTGCACAGCGCATAATGCAATCCACTATATGTGTGTTATGACTTGTGAGGAATGATGACTGGGAGGACTAGGAGACGTGGCGTTGCACGGACAAACGGTGGGACAGCTGAACAGCCGAACAGCTGGACGGCCGGATATGGTCGAACAGGACGTGGCTCGATGCGGTGGGCGCTAACGGTGCCGTCACGAGCGAAAACCACCAGATATAGGACATGAGATGGAACGATAGAGCAGGATTTGACCATCGGGCGAAAGTCGGAACTAAAATGCGGACATGAAACGTGATCTGCAGTGCGTTTGGTCTACCCGTCCGCTTTGGGTTGACCTAGTTTTGAGGACTAAATATAAATTTGAGAGATAGTTATGCAGAGTGCAGGGCTGGCATAGCTAATCGACAAGCGAAAAGATATGCCATATGGTATACAGTAAGAATTTTCTATAAAAATGTCCCGTCATTTACGCAAGTTATGTCAATTACCGGAAGTTATACGACTCGTGTCGTTAGGCATGGTATACGATTTACAATATGTCCCCGGATCTATTCTTAAACAATACGATTAGCGATATTTAATCACTTGCAGTCCGTTGCATGACGGAGGCATACGGCCATAGCCCATGAGATCACGCGCTTCACGAAGTGCTTTGGGCGTGGGCCATTATCACTTTTTAAGCAGCTATACTAGCTGGGGCCGGTAGAGCGATGTCAAGAGGTCAAGAGTACCAGGAAATATCCAACAGTCATGTGCATTTGGACGGCATACATCACATCCTCATTTTTAGACCGGCTATCAAGCCGTAACATGCGAGCCGACCTGAGTTTGAGCTGGTCGTTGTTTCCGTTTCACGGGGTACTGGACTGTCCATCTCACGTGGGGCCGCGTGCCTTTGACGTGAGGTGGACACAGATGGCATTTCCAGTCACTCGGTTTGGTCCTGCCTTCTGACGGTATCTCGATAACTTTCTCGGAAAGAGCCGTTTGTAGAAAGACGGCCGTTCCTGGACACGACAAAAACTGGGCAGCATTTGTGTGTAGTTTGTTTGGGATGCCCCGTACGGCCCGACAATTCGTGTTTTCCCTATTTACTCATTACTGAACCTCTTTGTTATCACTGAAATATGAGCCCACGTTTCTACCGATCGATTCTCGGTAGACATAGGTCAAGCGGTATTATCCAGGGACCACCCATTGTTTGATCCACCTTTTATATGCCGTTTTCGCTTGTGGGTCTCAAAATACCATTCTCCAGTTTATTTCTGTGCTTGAGCATTGACCAGCCTCCCCGCCTCAGCTCCAATTCACGAGTCAAGCCACGAATCACGATCTTGATTCAAACACGTGCTCGAGCGCCGCCCCCTGGCCCGGCCCGTGGGCTTGGCAGCGGGCGGCGGGCGGCGCGGCGGCGGGCGGGCGGTGGAGAAAGTGGCCGGGAGTGCCCGGGGGGCGGCGGGCCCCGCGCTGGCCCACTTCCTTGTGCCGGGGCCGGCAGCGCCGACGGCACCGGCCCTGCAGCGTGATCGTCACGGCACTGGACGTGACCCAGCCGCCAGCCGGGCCTCAGAGGTGACCTGAGTGACCCGATGGTGACCCTACAGGGACGTAGAGACTCTGGTGACCCGGGGAGGATCGTGGGCCCAAAGGACCCGACACGTGCCCTGTGTGACCTGAGCTGATCTCGCCGACAGGAGATGGCTGACCCGAGAGACCCAGTTGAAATGAGCTGGGATGATATGCTGAGCAGAAGTGTGACTTATGAAGATGCGGTAGTCAAAGCGAACCTGAAATCATGACCATGAAAGGCCGGCTGATTTTTCATGGAAAATGTTTTGCATGCGAAATAAAAAGGAATATTTATCTATGACTGTATTTTGTCCTGAAGGTGTCGAAAAGCTAGCAATCGTGTAGTAGCAGTAAAGAACAGCTGCGAACCAAACTGAAGTATGTGGAGAACACATGTTTGAGCGTGAACCTCACTGGAAACCGGTAGGATGACTGTGGATTTGGACATTACCTACTTGAATCACTTGATCAGAATCATAATGGACGATATACGGACATCGTGTACTACCCAGCAGTTTTGCACCATCGGCGCTACCACGAAGTGGTGTCAGAACACGATAATCATGGCTGTAACGGGTCATTTCAGTACCGGATAGATCTTGTTACTACTGCGATCCTTCGGGAAAAGACACAACTCGCACGTGCATTGCCTCACGATTTTGATAGGCGCACCAGTCATTACACGAGTCAGGAAGTAGAAAACACATGCTTGAATCGATATGGAAAAGGTCAAATTTGACAAAGAATGCAAACGATTGACAAAGTAAGAAAACGTCACCGCTCATTCCATGAGATCCTCATCGTCCCATGATATGGGTGACCCACTCTCCAACTCCCGACAACAAACAAGCGGAACATGACGCCCCATTTTCCGCTCCCAGAACTCGTGGCATCACTTCCGCTGTCTGCGGCAGCCAAGTGGCGCTGTTTCCAGGCGAGAAAAGGGAGAGTGGCGTCCGCTCGGCCTAGCTCCCGGCCTCCCAGCGCTCCGCGGCGCTGCCGCCATTGCCGGGCCGCTCCGTAAGCGCTCCCAGCTAGTCGGCCGACCGGCGCCGGCGAGTTTCACTTTTCTTCAGAGTTGGCGCGGCTCGACCGACGCTCGACCGGACGACTCGACTAGACGACTCACCGGACGGGGGTGACTTGCCCGCCAAGCGGTTTGTGGGCTCAGGAGGGCTACTCTCAAGCTGACAGGGCGCACCTTGGTGCCTCCATAGGTCAAATGGTTGCCTCATGGAAGCTGTCAGTTTTCATATTCGAAGGGTGTCGGTGGCTCAGCCAGCATCTCGGAGCTCAGCCGGCGCCTCTGTCTCCACCGTGCCTCAGCTGTCTCTGTTCAGCCCCCCCTGGACCGGGCGGCCGCACAGCGTGTCTGGCCGCCGCCGCCGGCCGGACGGGGTGTTGCGACACCCCTCGGCAGGGCTGACGACCTGCGGTGACCCCGCCGTGGGCGCTGCCTCCTCGTGGCGTGACCGGTCGGTCAGCCGGCAGAGAAGTGCGGCTGTCGATGGTGTGGTCCGGTGGGGTCGCGATCAGACCCGACATGACCACACCCTCCCCGCCGGTCGCGACGCGTCGTGCTTGGACGCGACGCGTCACGCGCACGGTTGCCGCCGCCGGCGCGCGGCCCAGTTTGCAACGTGGGGGAGGATCGGTGGAGCGATGATATCGCCTGGAAAAAGTGCACGTTTTTACCAAACCGACCAGGAAATGCGGGAGAAATTTGGTGACGGCCGGCCGCGTCCAGAACGGGTTTATCTGATTTTCAACACGTTCCTTTTGAATTGGGTCACGCTGCGAATGAGCGAGTCTCAACTGTCCGTCATTCGGAGAAAAGATTAGCCCTGTTTAATGGGTTGAAAAGTATGCGAACAATTAAGTACACGCGCAGCTTATACTCAAACCATTCAGCTTGGCTCCAAGACAATGCCAAACTTGAATGTAAGAACCATTTTGCATTGTTAGCCATGCTTCTAACTGCGACTCGACTAGGGAGCAATTGCATACAACGACAGTATTCTACACATTCTTCGTAGACCACACATCAGCCCAGTGCACCTCTTATCCACTCATGTCTTCGCCGCCGTCTCCACTGGTTAGCGCCTCTGTGAAGCCCGCCGACCCACCGAGCTCCGTAATCTAGCGCCCGTCGGCGGGCCGTTTTTGCGGTCGGCAAACGGCGGCCTCCCGCAGGCCAGGACCGTCTCCGTTATGTCACTGTCCATCGGCAGGGCGCTAATGCTCGTACCGCGCCGGTTGCGCAACGGGCAAGGCCGTTCGGTTCAGCGCCGCTCAGCGCCAGGCAGAGATGAGTGGTGGACAGAGGAGAGATCGGGGAGGAAGAGCGGTGGGGGAAAACGGCGGCATGACGCACGAGAGAATGGTTTGAGAAGAGGGCGCACTTTGCAAGGCAGCCCAGACCTCCTCAGCGACATCCCGCTGCTCATGGCGGTTGTAAAATCTCATTACTGACCGTTATTTCTCCATCCGTCGCTGAATTTACATACCACATTTTCTCCGACGATTAATTGTTTATTATTTCACTAAGTTGTGTGTACCCAGATATCCGACGGTTTTACGATACCCCCGGGATAGGGGGCACGGAGGACGCCTCTAAAGTCGTGATTGAGGCGGCAGCACCGGTCCCAAGGCAATCGAGTCCCGTTTGAGACGGATCTCTGGGGGCACGAGCTCCCCGGCCATGAGGGCTGAAGGACGGCATCTACCCATGGGAAGAGCGGATCAGGAGATAAAGATAAGCATCGATGTCGGCTAAGTAGGGTCAGATGCTAGGGTGAGGCTCGAAGAAGACGAAAGAAGAGCAGCTAATGATGTGTTAAAAGGGTATATGTGGTGCTGTAAACAACAATGAGACGATTTGTAGTCTGTAATGGAACCTCAAAGTGTAAGCAGCAGGGTCGTCTCGATTATAATATTTATATTTATTTATTTATTTACTTATATTGATGCATCAACTACCATGTATGTAGATACCTACCAGCGATGCATGATATCTTTCTAGCTTTTAATGAGGTAGTAAATTCACATAGAGCCAAAGACATATGGAGTGAAAAATATCCACTGCTTTGGAATTGTCACCAGTAAAATCGATACTTAAACTCATACAAGCAACGCCAATAAAGCATGCCGAGTTAGATTAGGGATAAATCTGAATACCCATGGGCAGAATAAGTTTTGGTTGATGTGGGAAGTCTCTCATGCAGAATTCATAAGTCTAAGCCCAAATGCGACACTAATCATTAAACATAGCATGCGTCTACATGGCAGAACACAATTTTCATTCGTTTGGGAGACGGACACTGGCCCTCTGTCCCGGGTACTTACATAACGTTTACAGTTGCTGAATCCGAGTGTCACGTTTACCAACGGAGCATAGTCGAGTCGCACACACGAGTAGCACACGTCTCGCCACCGTTCTCGGTGTCCGCCGTTCTCCGGCGGTGGCACGGGACGCTCGCTGGTCGCCGTCACTGCTCGCGCCGCGCGCACTGCACCCCTTCGCCCGGCTGTCCCCTCTGCTCCAAGTGGGTCACTCGGCGGCGCGCGCGCGCTGGCGACTCGGTCGGGCCCGGCGGCAGCTGGGGGCAGGCTCGGTGGGCTGGAGCGCGGCAGACGGAGCCGAGTCGCGGTGCTCCCCTCACCAGCCGCGCTGCACTCTCTCTGCGCCGAAGCTGGTGGCTGCGCCGCTGCCGCCGCGCACAGACCACCTGTGGAAAGTGAAAACTGGCCCGAATGGGCGGCGCCGCGCCGGCAGCACCCGCAGCCGTCCGTCCCTTTAGGCCGTCTTGGTGCCCGGCGTGGTCCTTTGTGACCACCGGCGGCCATCTTACTGGCGGCGCCGGTCCGCGGGACAGTCCCAGGTGCGCAAACAGGGCGCTGTTTTGTGCGCCCGTGTTTGTCGGGAGTCGAGTAATGGGCAGGGATCCGAGAAAGGCACGCAGAACTGGCCCGCCGCCACTGGAAAATAACCTCCGCGCCGGGCCGCATGGCCAAAACACGGCCAGCTTATTTTTACCCGGACTAATTGCAGCCCCTGGCTGAATGGAACCAGGATAGGTGCAGAAATGGTAGCAGCCAGCAGGTACTGTCTACAAATTGGACATCTATAGGTTTGTTTGTTCGAAGGACAGCGTCACGTTTATCATTCGTTTGAAAAAGGAAACACATATTCTTCATGGCTCTTTTGGCCAGATAATTACTTTTGAAACGCATGATAGTCTGACGGCCTGCCTGCATTGTCTCAATGTCTCGGGCCTATCAGTAGGTATATCAGTAAAACCAAGCCAACATCCACTTTCGAGGTTTATCATAGGACATAGCTGCACCCTATTATACCGGCAACATGCATGCACATTAAATCCTAAGCAAAATAAATGCTAGGATCATGACGCATGATTTACCCACTGATGTTTTGATTGCTTATTTATAAGCTGGTAATTACCATTAAATTGAATTTCAGACAGATACGGATAGACATAATTCTATTGTTGGAAGGTACCTATTCAGGCTCAGTACTCCGGCCATCGAATAGACATGCCTTCCAAATGTTCAATTTATTGGCAAACCAAGCATATTTAGCTGACCACTGACATTAAATCATCAATATCTTGGTCGTAACATCTTTATTTGTAAATATCTTAACCTGGCGGCCGCTGGGCCTCCGTGCCACTAGTCGGCCGCCGGGGGGGGGGGGGCAACTAGTGCCCCCCCTTTACTTCTCAAACGATACCGTCGCAACGCCAGGAGATAGCAAAGCGAAACCTTGCACACGTTTTTCTGAATAGCTAGCCAAAGTTGTGCCTAAATTTGGTGTCGATCCCATTTGAAATGACGTCACAGTGACGGTAGAAGTCCAATGATATATTTGCGTCTCATAGTTGCTTTGCGATATACCTATCCGATATATGGGACCGAATATAAGGGACTGCTCCCTGGCCAGGAACTAGTTAAAATTGTACTTGGATGTGTCAGGATGACAGGAGATGCAGTGAAGTTCATTTACCGTTGAGTTTCATGCTAAATGACATCAGAAACGCTCCATATCGGAAACAACAAAACTGTATGACGTCACTGTGACGTCATCTTAACCCGCGCCGGGCCGGTGCTCCGAGATTCCGCGCCGGGTCGGGGGTGTCTGAACACCCCCCTTCTAACTCAACTCCTGGGCCACGTAGCGATACGCGGTAAGCGGCAATCGAAAGAACGTCCAAAATAAGGACGAAAACACTGGTCATTTTTTGGGTCAGGTCAAAGGTCAGGTCACCAGAGGTCACCAAAGGTCAAATGTTGACTATTTCAACATTTTGGAAACTGCCAACGGCTATCTCGGGAACCGATAGAGCTACGGCGCCGCAAAAAAGCGCATTCGATAGCTCTGTTACAGACCTTTCTGAATAATGTTCTCAGATTTGACCTCAGGTCAATGGTTTAGCCTACAGAGGGCAAAAACTCCTCAAACTAAAAAGAGCCATGACATTACGTTTGCCAGCATCGTGTTCCTCTCGTCGAGACGCGTCGAATGAATTGTAATTTGACCTTAAAAGGTCAACTTGAAAATTTGACCTCAGGTCAAGGTCATGATCTGACCGGAAAAGGTCATGTTGCATATCAGTCAATCCGCAACGTCGAGCCGAACACATCTAAGGCGTTTTCAGCGCTCTAGGACGCTTCTATCAGAAGTTATTATCGAAAAACTGTTAGATTCTGTTCGTGACCTGAGATGACCTCAGGGACATACCGAGGGGTCACAGTTGCCATTTTCCGGTTCAGTGTGTCAATTTCACCTACATCTCGATGTTTGATAGTGTCTAGAATAGCGTTCGTGCAAAACAGACGCTTTTCAATTTTCTCCCATTGACTTATGATGAAGAGGCCGCAAAATTGACCTGACCTTAGGTCACCGATATCATAATTCCGAGATATACATTTTATATACAATGTTGCTCTTATCAATCGCTGAAAGTTTCAAGGCAATCGATCAGTCGGTGTAGCTATGACGAGCATTCTTATTTTTCTGAGGTGAGGTCACTTGGCGTGACCTGGTGACCTGACCTAGGGCGACCTGGGTCTGAAATTTTCACAACATGTGCGGAAAAGATGCACAAATAGGTGTGCCAAAAACGGTGGCGCCGCCGTTTTTTAGATATCTGCGAAAAACCGCAGGGGGGTGTTCAAACACCCCCGGCCCGGCGCGGGTTGAATGAGCAGCCCCCAATACCTAGGTGATCCTACTTTTATTGTGAAATTGTGTGTTTCTCCTTACACATAGCACAGCGTATCCGCAGCAGCGATTAGCTCTCACTTTTTGCTGCAATGTTTGCACGCCGCCCATGCATAGGTACACTTCACCATGCTGAGCAGTGATCAATGTCCGTTTTCACAAGATGTGACTGTATCGTGGAGGCGATCTTATCTCTGCGCTCAGCCGTACAAAACCCACACACAATCTAATGATCAATGAGATAAGAGCGGAAAGCATATTTTCATCAGCACTCTGCAACGCTCCGGCAATCTTAACTTTTCTCTTCCTCCTGAGTCCTGCTCTCCGTCTGTCTGTCTGTCGGTCTGCCTGCCTGTCTCTGTCGGTCTGCCTGCCTGTCTCTGTCTCTGTCTCTGTCTCTGTCTCTGTCTCTGTCTCTGTCTCTGTCTCTGTCTCTGTCTCTGTCTCTGTCTCTGTCTCTGTCTCTGTCTCTGTCTCTGTCTCTGTCTCTGTCTCTGTCTCTGTCTCTGTCTCTGTCTCTGTCTCTGTCTCTGTCTCTGTCTCTGTCTCTGTCTCTGTCTCTGTCTCTGTCTCTGTCTCTGTCTCTGTCTCTGTCTCTGTCTCTGTCTCTGTCTCTGTCTCTGTCTCTGTCTCTGTCTCTGTCTCTGTCTCTGTCTCTGTCTCTGTCTCTGTCTCTGTCTCTCTCTCTCTCTCTCTCTCTCTCTCTCTCTCTCTCTCTCTCTCTCTCTCTCTCTCTCTCTCTCTCTCTCTCTCTCTCTCTCTCTCTCTCTCTCTCTCTCTCTCTCTCTCTCTCTCTCTCTCTCTCTCTCTCTCTCTCTCTATCCCTCCAGAGACACGCGGCGCATCTCGCTCCATCTCCATACAGCTCTGTACGGTCTCACTCTAGCTCACCAGCCGACCACCCCCCGCCGGCCGCCACGCGGGGCAGCACGTTACCCGTCCGTAGCTCGAAAGTGGCGGCTGGCTCCGAGCTGCGGCTAGCTCCGAGCCGCCCAGAGGATGAGTGGGTGGCTACCGGAGATCACCGGCGCCCCGCCTGACCAGTTTCTCTCTTCGGCTCGCTATTCGAGGCATCTGCACGCTGTCGTGCACGATTCCCGCGGAGGCAGGTGGCTGCAGGGCCGGGCCTTTGTGATTCTGACGCGCCACGGCGGCCCGCTTTCGGTGAAGTGACGTCAGAGGCAAGCGTGGGTCGAAGATAATCTGTGCGTGCCATCGAGAAGACGACGGACCCTAAAACGGGTGCTATTCATATGTCTCTTATGCACTCAGTTTTTGATTTGGGTCACAATGCCGTGGACGCAGCTCAACCGCAAGTGTTTGTTTATTGCTCCATAAAATCTAACCAAAGCGCATGTATGGTTGTTCAGACAATATAAACACTACCACAATTACAAGCTACAGCTATATAGTTTTACTTTTTGAGGATCAGTGCAACCAAATAGGTGCAGCCCTCGAAGGAACGTTTGGTGCTGCAACATTCAAACACTTGTCTTCCCAGATTCGCCGCGGTATGCCAAAACTGGATCAGTCTGAGTCGATAACTGTGTCAGATTAGATCCTACCCGTGCTCTGCGCGTTACAACACGCGAACACACCGTGTCCGATTTCCCGTTCTTTTCTCATTCCGGTCTGCAGCTCGTCGTAACGGGCTGGCGGCCGCGTGGCAACACCTTGCCCCATGCGTCAGCGCCCCGGTCAGGTATGCCGTCTAATCCGCGCCCGCCAGACTCGGCGTTCATTCGGCCGACTACGGAGGGTGGCAGTGACGAACAGGACGTACCACGCGCGTCACTGACGCATGTCAGACGTCACTGATGTCATGGCCCGGTGCCGTTATCCGCCCCTCCCCTCGACTGTTGACGGGTCGTGGCAAACCCGGTGTACAGGAGCGGGGCCGACGGGTTGTGTCTGGCAGATAGGGCACGTCTGTCCTACTCCGGGTCTTTGTGGACCGGATACAGGAACACACGCGTGAGCAACGGACAGAATGTGGGTGAAAGACCTAGTTATGAAGAAAAAACTGCACCGTCTTAGCTGATTACAAAGAACTTAAAGTCAAAGGGCTCGTCGCTGCAAACGCATATTTCTTTTGGTGTAGGCATTAAAACAATGCATTGATCGGTGAAAAGATGGGGTCATTCCACTTCCTCGTCCTAACGGTGCTTGTGATGAGTCACTCGTGCCTTTTCAGGCTTGCAGCTTTGTGTCCCGTTGAGGTCCTTCGGTTGCAGCTGTTGAAAATTCCAACAATGACGGACATTGATGAGGACGATGGTGCTCGAGGTAGAATCGGAACGCGGAACTGCAGCTGCTCAGGTGGAGCAATGAGTTCGCGACTGAAACGACTCATCGAAAATCGGCCGGATCAGGACCGGTTAACGAAGCCTCAAGTGACTTTCTTAATCTTATCAGCCTGTTACCAACAGTGCATCCATCTCGTCTTCCACGAACTTTGTTCTGCCCTGTTCTATCGGTTCAAGTACTTTAATGTCATCTGCTTTGATGTGTTATCTTGCTTGCACGACAAACATGGTTCTGCTTCATGTGCAAATGTCAGTATAACGCCCCAGATGATAGATAACTTGCATTTGAAGTCCTGTGACTGATGTATGTCATTTATTTAGTAATCATTCGCAATGTTTAGGTTGTATGTCCACTCCTGTGATAAAAATGGTCACTGCACGATTTTGATATTAGGATATGTTTAGCTGGCAAAAACTATGTTATCTTGTTTGTGGCACCCTTTAAGCCGGAGAAAGCAGGACAGAGGTGTAGGAACTGGTCATGCATTTGTGCCGGATACGCCAGTTATACAGGAGACCGACTAAATGCATGTATTTTTACAGTCTGAAGAGGCAAAGGGTGCGGAGATCTATATACCTAAGGCGTCGCTCATGACATTGTGACCTAAGTGCATTAGTACACACGATTGAATGTGTGAAAGCACAGCTGAAGTTTCCTCTGAATTCCGTCATAAGTGAGTATATAGGGTAAAGTCACGAGTCCTGTTCGGCAAGTGCCAAAAGCATATGCCTATTATACCTATATAGTTACCTGGTATGAATTTCGAGTTTCGATCACAAAGTTTACATTTATGACAGGTCCTGGTTAAAAGAGTTACTTGCTGAACTTATTAAAACGTTTCATTGAATAGAAAAGAAAACGCTTTAACCAATTTTAAACAGGCTCAAATATTATAAATACCTATCCGTTTTCTGGATTTGAGACAAATTCGAATATCTTCCCTTCGTCGATTCCCCAGAAAAAGAACCAAATCAACAAAGAGGGTACCTACATTGCGTTCATTGCTTTGAACACCCAACAGATTGTGAGAACCTTTCCATCCCCATTCTTTACTAAACGTAGTTTGAGTGCTAGCGCCCTGTGCTACCTCGCAGTCTCCAAGACATTCCGCGGTGCTACTGCTACATGCTGAAATGCAGTCTCCGAGGTGCGGCCATTTTCCGGCAATGGGGCATTCAATGGCAGATCATCACAGTTTTTTTCCTCAATTGAATATCGTTTTTGCTACAACTTGCACGTAAATGTGTAAACATGAGCTCTGAAGACCTGTAACAGTTTGTTACTTATTTTGGTCTGCGATGTTATTTTAGGTAGGTACCAACATAATTCTGTTTTTTGTTTTCGGCAGTTTTTAAGGGATAGGTATCGTACACCACATACGCATCGAAAATTTAATCACGAGATATTGAGATCAAATTTAGGGATAAACAGTTCCCCAATTCCGAGGGCCCACCATGGAGATACCCCCGTCACAAGATCCGCTTGGCAAATATTGGTGATGAATGATGTTCTTAGCAAGAGGACGACCGCCCAGCCTGCATCCAGCCCCTAACATCGACCCACGAAACCCCTCCCCGCACCCCCACCATCCGACCCAGCCGGTCCGCAGCCGAGCCGGGCAGGTGCAGCCGCCGAGCTGGCTGAGCCGCGAGAGCTGCCACGGCCAGCAGCCCTCCTTTCGCTGGCCAGCGTCCAAAGCTGCGCCGGCCGCAGCGCGCCCATGACGCGTCCTACTGCATACCTGGAGACGCCGTCGACGGTCGACGCCGCCGATTGCGACACAGCAATCATCCGTGCGATCGGTAAAATTCGCCGGTCAGGCCGGGTTAGCACGGCAACGGCTGGTAAAACTCAGCAGAAAAGAGCTGGAGCATCACCGCGGCGGAGGATCTGATGAAATTACGCAGCGTGTCTTCGTGAGAAGGCCATGAGGTGCAGCCGACGGTCCTGGAGTTTTAGCGGACGCAAACGAGCGAAAAAATGACACCAATGCCGGAGATGTGGGTTTTCTGGTGTCTGGAAGGTCGCGAACGATGTGTCATGAGTTAGCGCTTGCGGTAACGGCTGCCACCACGCCGGACCGCACGGCCCACGCAGCTCGGCGGCCGCACGGTGGAGTGGTGACTCACATGGTAGTGAAGTCACCACCAGCGCGGGGAAATATGCGGCGACGGCGGCTGCTGTGTTAGGGAGGGGGTGACCACTGACCAACTTCGGCACTGGAAACATGCGGAGGCAGATTGTATGTCTCGTTGCAGCAGAGCTGACAGAAATGACACTAAAAATAAAGTTACTTGTGGGAGAGCGCGCTTATGGACGAATTTAACGCCTCAAATAAGACGTAACGTCACAACTCACAACTCTATCAGAATGGGTGGGGTTCAAACTTCAAACATGGGTAGGGTTCAAACTTCAAACAAACCTTGTCAAGGAAGGGCAAACCGACACATGGGCTGGATATCAAATGTCAGGTTTCACAGTAAAATACTATCTGGTGCAGATCACAAACCTTTGCTCTACATCGATCGTTTGAACAGATACGGTAACGAAAAATGCCACATTATCTTGTAATCAGCTGAGCAGTTGTTTGAACTCCTAGTAGACTATTCTACTGACATATTTTGACAAGACTGACGCATGTTTGACTGAAAAATCGGGACCAAAGCGGGCGCAGTCTCTGCCGCCACCGAGTGCAGAGGTCCTGTCAATCGAACCTGATATGTTGCAACGATCAATGACCGCGCGTGCACGCCTTATAAGGCGCCACTGCGCATCAGGTGTCACCGCCGCGCAATACATCATCGTGAAAAGTGGCTAAAAGCGACAAGTGACCCAATTAAGGTCAGAGTTTCGGCGTTATCTTGACATGCTCGTATTTCTCATCGCTCACCAGCGCTCACACAACTGGCTGTCCGATGGGACATTTATTTACAAAACCGCAGGCTGACAGATCCCAATAATCAACAATCACGAGGCGTCGCTCGCGGAACATTTCACTGAAGATCGCAGCGATGGAACACGAACACCAGATCGCGACTGGCAGCGACAGAGCGGGATTACAATCGCGCGCCTCAGACGCGCCAGGGTGTGAGACAGACGGGTGCAGGTAGTCGCGTGACAGATGTGACGGGCGTGACAGATGTGACGGGTGACGGGCGGAGAGTGCCGGGTCGCGAGGGACGGTCCGTCTCGGTCGCTAGTATTGGCAATCACAGATACAGACGAGCTGGCTACAATAAACACCCCGCTGCCCCGCCGCTCGGGACGCGGACACTGTAACGCACATTGATCCCTGTTCTCGGTTCGGCCAGCGCCGGCACGGCTCATTCATATGACACGTCGGCTCAGCAGTTGTGGGTCTAAAAATATGGTAACATTTATTGCCGTGTGAACCAGCACTACATAGTGTCTGCGTGAAAGGTACTGGAGCAATGTCATCAGCAAAAAGCCCAGATAGGCGTTATCTAAAAGCGACATTTTACCGCACAATTAACGCATACACGTTCAAGAGTACACCTTGCTACGATACGAGTCACTATCGATTTACACTACGCATGTATATCACAAGATAATTTAGTGTCTTACATGAAAAGCTGTAACATTAAGTGGATCGGAATGACATCAGAGAAAATAGAGAACTCTCTCGCAGGACTGATAAGTGGTGCTGGAATATCACTTGGTTAACAAAACACAGCACTCGGCGATTCTCACGCACAAGGGGACGACCATAACGTGATTGAAGTCCCATTCGCCGCACCTTCCAGGCCGTCTAGCCCATGAGTTGTGCACTGCCTGGTCCGGATCTTTGTGCGTTATTTGGTATAGGAGTCACCCCCAGTCCCTGCCTAATCACCGGGAGGTCGAGCAATGCCCTGTGGGTCATACCAACCGCGGTATGAGAAGAGGGCAGACAATGCCCTGGATTATGTACGACTCTCCTGTGCGACTTCACTGTTAGAGCTTCTCACCACCATTGCTGATTCAAACCGTCTCAAACCTTCAAACTGCTACATCTCCAAACTGGACTAAAAGAAAAGCGCTGCTAGTCTCAGATTCAGTACTCTTAACTTCCTCCAATGTCTTTCCGCCCTCCGGCGTCCCCTAAAATCATCGGCTCATTTCTTCCTCAATCGGTCGTGCACGTGCGCATCGCCCAGTGCACACTCTCCGGCTATCAATGTACCAACTGGAAAAGCCAGCGCCACCAGCAGCCAAACACTTGGCTTCCGTGCGGCCATGCGCCAGCATTTACGAGGATGGCACTGTTTCCCGTCTGGTAGCTGTCTTGGCACCTTTACTGCTGTCAGCAGTGATCTCCCGTGTCAGTCTCTTTCTCTTCCTCATGTAGAGTATCATCTCCCGTTAGATCTCGCCGGCACCTTCCCGTGTGGCGTCTTTTGTACACCAGAAGCCTCACTGCACGGTCCACACCGAGCAGAGTAGGAGAAAGACCCAGCGGCGAACGCCAGACCCGTGCCGTCCGTACCACCAATAGAACACGGCCCGGAGCACGGCACAGTCTATGAAACAACAGCAACACCTCTGCCCCCTCCCACTCCCAACTCAGAAAACAACAAACACCTGCCGACCCTCCAACAGCCCAGAAACGAAAGATAAGGCGTCAAATGACGTGAAACATCGCACACATGCACATCAACTCACTCTAACTATCACAATGGACTTAACTTCTCTCCCACGGCATTGCAGCTTTGCGCCCGCTGCGATATCTATACGCCGCTCCTAGCGCCGTCTATACTACACTCGTCTGTGCTGAGATCAGCCGCTTGTGACATCACCTTGCGTCGGACCTCACAGCGGCACGGGCGGAGCCTTGAGCAGGGCGGGCTTAGTCGGCGTTGGCACACTTCCTGAGGCATCGTCAGCCCGCTTACGGAAGGCGGGCCGCGTGAAGGCGGACCCGAGACTGGGCTTCAACTCGAACACGGCTGGTTTGATGATCGGGTCCGGTGGAGTGCTCTTCCTGTGGACAGACGTCGCGCAAACGGGTCAGCCGTGCGGTGGTCAAGGGTCGAAACGCACAGCTCCTCGATACATAGCTTGTTGTGCATGTGAGCTGTTTTACCTGGGCGTGGCTGAGTTATTCCACACCATACAAACCATACAAACCAGTCCCACCGACACCGAGCATGCTAACGCCCTGCTCATAATCTTGTAACACACAGACACTCCCACCTCCCTCCTTTTCTACCGCACCGTCTCCACCTCACCTGACCGTCTCCACCGTCTTCAGGCAGACGCGCTCACAGCCATCTGGCGGCGCACGCGCCAGGAACCGGTTAATCTGCGGCGACGAGCCCAGCCGACTGAGCTCCAGGTCCGGCGTGGAGCTCTTGCTGATGTCGTCTGTCGAGAAAGGAGACAGTCGAGGTAGGTTAAGAGAAACGGAGTGTGCGCCTAGCTTTCTTAAAACACACAAAAAAATCACTAGATATTCTCCTCACTGTAGTAGCTACACAACATCCAAGGAACTTGATTCAAAGCATTTAAAGGCAACTATTTATGGTGGGATAATCTTCCATGGCATATCGTACACCATCAAAATAGATGAGACTCAAATAACACACCTGAACCCTCAGAGCTATATAAACACAATCACTAGACGTGGATCCAATCCTCGGTCCCCACACACCGTCCCGCCCCCGTACCTGCCAGTCCGAGCGCCTCCATATCTCCGGAGAATGTCGGCGAGAGTAGCTGATCGTCGAGCGGGGTCTGGGTGTTGACGGAGCGGCGCGAGCGGAGCAGAAGTTCGTCCACCGGCGCCAGGTGGCCGTCCACCGGACACTGGCGGTGGAACGGGGCGGTGGAATAGGTGGACACAAGAGTAGATAAGTGGATAGAAGCGGCCCCGTGGATCAGCTGCCCACCGCGGCGAAGCATGAGATGGTATCATAAGCAGAATAGCCACAAGTAACGTCTATAACCCACTTACGTACTACGGTCTGTCATTTTCCTTCAAAATAAATACTCAAGCTACATCATATGTAAGACAGGTATACATCAAAAGAGGCCAACTACATACTAGTCCCGTTTCCCAGCGACACAGCCCATCTTGCTACGTTCTACCTCCACCTACTATTCTCGAGGGATGAGCGATTAAAGCCATTCCTTTCTCTCTCCCTCACCCGTTGCATCCCTTCCTCCCATCAACTCCTCCCTCTGCGCCTCGTCCCCCTCTGTCTCCATACCTTTGCACTCCCTCCCCTCCGCACATATCCTCTGTTCCCTCTGCCTAGTCTGCCCCGCCCTCTCACCTGACTGAAGGCGAGCACGCGCTGCTGCACCAGTCTCTCAATCTCCTGGTTCAGTCCCTCCACGGAGCTGCGCGACCGGGGCGGTGTAGTGGGCGGCCGGCCCGCCGCAGACGTCGGGATGGTGATGGGACGCGCCGCACCGGTCGGTACCAGTAGCGAGTGGTCGGCCGGCACCGGTGACTGCCGCACCGCGCCCGGACCCCAGCCGCGGGCAGACGAGAGCTCCTTGGTGTTCCTCTGCAGTCTGTGGTGGACAGCGGTGGGCGAGAGGTCACCGGGAGTGAGGTGACTACACCACCGTCCTAGATAACGCTGAGTGGAGAGGGAACGACCGTCTGTCCCAGCATAGGCCGCGAGAGCACAGCTGTCAGCACTCATCCTTGATTATAAGGTCTGCCATGTGTGTATCAGACTGGATATCATTTCTGTTCAATTGACATAAACATTGATTTCGAGGTACTGCTTGCCAAATTTAACCACACCAGTTGACCATGACCTCTATCTCTGCGTGATCTCTGCATATTCACCTCTGCATCATCTCTGCATGATATTCTGCAATAAAAAATGTGAAATGATAAGAAAACATCCCGCCCACCTCTGTCGGATGAGTTTCTTCTCGAGGCAGTCGGCGGTGCCGGGTCCGGAGCCGACCGGTGACACCAGACCGGAGCCCCAGGCCAGGGGACTGGTGTGAGACCGCAGAGGCACCCACTCGTCCGGGGTCTGTCAGCGGCAGAGAGTGTTAGCGTAGGATGTTCCAGCTTGAACAATGCTCAGAGAACGCAAAATATAATGCAGACGAGCAGGGTAAGGTTGTCAAATTAGTTGCTTTATGGTACTATGGTAGAAAGCGCTTGAAAAAATATAAAGGCAAAGATACATCTAACAGTCCATTACATTGAATATATGTCTTTGGGAACACCCTATATCTCTAGCAAAATTCAGGCTGCGATCTGATTGACCAGGAAATAAGCATACAGCTCAAACATAACTAGCGTACTACCATGCCACTCAGTGCGGCCTATAGCCAGCCGCTGGGCGCGGATCACCTGCGTCGCCTTGTCTGCCCCTGCCCCGGCTGCTCCGGCGCTGGGTGCCGTCAGCCGCTCGCGGGGCCACTGTCCCAGCAGGTAGATAGCGTCCAGCGAGAGAGCCCGGCGGATGGGCACGGTGGCCCCCGGCTGGGTGGGAGACAGAGCGCCGCCCGTCGCCGCTGCAGAGCGACGGGTGCCAGTGGTGAGTGTCGATAGAACAAACATACGGACTGACGATACGGATGGGGAAGCGGCTGACAGTTGTCGTGAGTGTACCAAAACATACTTGATAAGAAATAACACTTTCAACTATATCATCACTGTAGAGGTGTACACTTCACGAAATGAGAACAGGCAATCAAGCTACTTAAAACAGCAAAGGCAATCGTGTCGATCCTTTTGAAGAACAAAGAACAGTCACCAAAACTTCCACACGACAGATTCGCCACCATTTCATCCCCAGTCATTGTCCCGTTCGGCTGGTGACGATAGTATACCTCCTCCCCGCTCCTTCTCCACCCTGCGTACCGCCCGAGTCGCCGGGGCCCTCCGTTTCCTGACCGCTGTCCCTAAGCTTCACCCCCTCTCCCAGGCCCCACCCCACCCCTCTGTACGTACCGCTCAGGTCTCCGGGTCGCTCCGTCTGCTGACCGCTATCCCTCAGTTGCACACTGGGTGAGCCCGATTTGCGGCCATGGCACACCAGCATTGACGGAGACACGCTTCGGATAAACGCTCGTGGCATCGTGTCGTTCACAGCCTGAAAAGACAAACAGTGGTGTGTATGAAACTGCCCACAAACTAAAACTAAAAGGATGGCTGCATTGAACAGCATTCTTATGTACTTTTGCATCAAAAAGGTATGTAGGAATAGGATCAGGATGAGGCATTTTCCAGAGAGCTATGGTAAAATTCCTACTTCCTAATAACCTTATTTAAGAATGTGTTAGAATAAAACAGTTTTAGCTCAGCAATATTATGTTTGTACCATTTTGGAACTTAAAGTCTGCTGTAAATAATAAAAACTAGAAATGCATGGGTATATAATATACCAGCATTCAAGTAGGTGTTAATACATGATCTTAAAGGGACCCTCCCACCTTCAAAAAAGTTAATGAATTGGCATGAAAGTGATGTCGCTCGGTTCAGAAAGAGCAAAAACGAATATCTACCAAATTTCATCGAAAAATATTCACCGGTTTTCAAGATATTAGCCTTTTACTTTTGTTTACTTTTTGGGATTTCCGCTGTTCCTAGCGACTTTATTTGAAAGTGCGGCATTTGTTGCGCGCAAAGCAGCATACCTTTACCACCGCGTGCTACAAAACGTTTTAGTCAAACATTTAACGGACGTTCGAAAGCCTGATGACGTCATCAGACTCCCGTAATGGTTAAGAGATAGGGACCACGCTGGTCCCACCCTGCAAGTAAAGGGAAGAAATTTCTTGAACACCATAAAGCTGCGGGGGTTGCGACCAGGATAAATGGTGGTTTCTGAGCCTGGCCGCAAACTTGGCTATCTCAACTCAAAACTAATGTTAAGGTGGGAGGGTCCCTTTAATACTAGCAAACTGCAAATATCCCAAAATAACTCATGCACCCAGTGGCCAGCAGTCAGCACCCTAGAGCAGCTCATAATATTCCTGGTGTCACACAATTGGACTTGGTTTTAGCAGCAAAGGCATAGACTGCTACTGGTCATAATTACCTACAAATACACAGCAAAGCAAATAACAAATGGAGATGGATTAGTGGCTGATTCTCAATATGAGTTCCATTTAAACGCCGGTCCCATAGCTCAGTTGGTATGGTAGAGCATTGGACTCTGCGTGGCGAGAGCATGCACTCCCGGTTATAACAGTCCAGGTTTGAAGCACAACAGGCGCTTGACATTGCCCTCCTGTCCTGACAGGTATGGTTGCAGTCGGTGGCAGGCCATAGCCAGGCAAAGTCAGTGACGGGACTCAGGACTGGCCGTGCGCGGCTGTGAGCGCACGTTTAACTTTGGACTCTAAATTCTGTCATAGAACTGGAATTCCGCAATTGGAGGGTAGAGGGCAGGGCCACCGCAACAAGCTTCGCTTAGCCGTGGCTCTGTCCTTGTGAATCCCTCCTATCAAAAGGTTTGGACTAAATTTATTTTAAAAAAAAATTGAAAACAGTGCATTTACTTGTTCATGCATAAATGAGCTTTTTAAGCTTAGCGAAGGACAAAAACATTTATCAGGAAACGACGACACGCTATGCAAAGCTAACCTTACTTCCGATTTTCCGAAAATAGGTAAGAAACGGGCCTAAATCAAAATATGAATCGAGGTAGGGGCGACAACAGCCCCACGTCAAGCGTAAGAGAAGGTCAAAAACTGCTTTATTTATGGAATGTAAACAAAGGCACGCATACAGCTGATGAATGACAACCGTTTGGCTATTTAACCAAAACCACTGTAAAAAGTTATTCTCAGCAACAAGCTCTTCATATTTGGTACCAAGCACATTAATACAAAAGTTTGATATCTGTTCTATCGATTAGCTGACTATTTAATAATAAAAAACAATCATTTTTCAAAGTTGTGTTCAATCTTACGAATCTTACAAAGGCTATCAGCTGAGCAGCACTTTCGATCACAGCCGTGGCAAAGGAATGGGTAATTCTTTACTTGGAACTGTGTTCAGTAGCTGATGCCTTCGTAAGTGAGCACAAGCGAAAAAGGCTTTGAGTAATTGCTTAACGTCATCAAACTTTATAATATCCTTTTGCAAGCAGCAATCTGAACACATATTTTGCCGTGTGTACTTACGAGCAACTTACGAGCGCACGGTCTTACGAGCACCTTACGAGTAGTAGTTGTACTCGTTGTACCACGTTGTACTGTGAATTTTGGACCATTAGACATTGGGACAAAAGCAAAATCCAACGGCCTTGCAACGGCCAACACAAACAGGTTGGTGACCTGACCCAAAGGTCTTACCAAGTAGATCTGCAAGAGGCAAGGGAGCAGGATGCTCATAGGATGCTGCCTCTCTCCGTAGTCTTCTTGATGTGCTTGTCGTCTTTGTTCTTGAATATGTTAACATTTTTGTTAACTTTTGTTAGCTTTTTGTTAACATTAACAAAAAGCTTATGAATTTGCCCCTTGGAACCAGAAATCATGAACTGTGTCATCGAGTCCAATTACTTACTTGTCCTATGCTTCTGGCTAAAAGACAGCTCATGTTTCACCGTCGCATCAATCAAAGCAGTAATGTAATGGTATTGTCCAGTGTATTAGAAATAGTGTAATAGGCCGTAATGGATTATCTGCGAAAGCTAGCCTCGCAATTCGGAGACGCTACCTACGACCTACTAGGCTTGGATTTCAGCGTCATAACTCCAATTGACTTACAAAACATATTTATGTCGAACATTGAGCGTATAGTCAATGAACGCATGATGAGGCGGGACCAAGGCGGGACCACCTAGATCTTATGACCCAGATGTCTGACTTAATGGGTAAAACGTAGCTGTGCTATGTCTGCATGCTCATGTGTTGTGTTGGTGTGTATTGTTATGTGTTGAAGTGTTTGCGTATATTGCTATGCGAGACAGTTAACAGTTCTGATAAAATAGACCGTTCTGGTTTTTAACAACACCTTACACCCAATATCACAAATCACGATAGGCCGCTGGCCAGCTAGAGTTGTCCGAGCAGAATGTGCGCCGGCCGGTGTGACTACACAGGGCCCGAGCGGGTGACGATCGCAGGCTCCTCTCCCGTGACTGGATGACTAGACGTGGGTCGAGCCGGAGCGGTGTTTCGAGCCGGCCAGCTCAAAGAACAGCACGTATGCCTTTCCGCTGTTGACGTTTCTCTGATCCATCACGTGGACCCGCGAGTCGTTGTACTCGTACCACTCTGCCGTGTACGGGTGTCGGCAGTAAGCGGTGTAATGTCCTGAGAGCAGCGTGCCAGAGTGGTTCGCCACGCCGTATAGGCTGTACCGGCAGGGCGTCTGTCCGGCCGAGTAGGGCGACAGGTCCAGACCGTTCATCGAAAAGTCGACAGTGGTGTTCAGCTTTCCGCCGAACCTCTCCTGATGCGAGAACCGCTTCAGGTGCACCACGAGGATGCGCGGGAACTTCTGGATCGAGAGGCTCCTGGTGCACTTTTGGCGCTTCTGGCACTTTGAGCAGGTCGGTTTTTCGTCGCCATCGAGCACCTCCTCTTTGGTGAACAGGTCAAAACAGGCCTGTAGGCGCACCTGGCCACTTCGTGACGGGATTGGCAGACTCAGATCCCAGAACGGGTCGAAGGTAACCGATTCGTGGCCACATGCCGTGCACCGCAGGGTAGCCTTGAGCTGGCCCACGAACAGGTCAACAAACTTGGAGTTTTCCAGGCGCAAGAAACGTTTCCAGGCCTCCATTGACTTTTGACTGGCGTTCATTGAGTCGTCGATGTCGGTCGTGATCGGCTTTGGCCGGCTCGTCACCCGGTTCACGTCCTCGTGAAGTCCCTCCAGCAGATATTTGAGGAATTCCTGCGCGTCCTGCTGCTGGGAGCCCATGAAGCGCGGCGCGAGCCGTTGGATCATCGACTTGAGTGGTGCGGTGGTGAGCACCCGCTCCGTTTCGCCCGAGGATGTCCACATGTCGCGTATCAGAGCGCAGAATGTGTTCATGAGGGACCCCTTCGTAGCGGCGGCAGGCATGCTGGCATCTGAGGAGCGTCCATCGCGCAGGATGTAATCGTGGAGAGCGCGTGTGTTGCTCAGGCACTGGACGACTGTGTTCAGGAAGCAGGTGTTGCCCGTGTTCCTGAGGCCGGTGAGACCGAGCGGTCTGCCGTCAGATTGACTGCCAGTCCCGCCGCCGTCTTCGCTGGGGTTGCCGGGCAGTGAGCGGTGAGACACAACGTACATTGTGGCGTTCTGGTAACACGAGTTACCGTAATTGGGAAGTCCGGTGTAGAGCGGATCGTTGCCGTGTTTGTCGGGGTCTGCGGCTGTGGTCAGCTGTAGCTCGCGAGCCGTCAGGAGCTCCCCCTTCAGCCTCAAGACGACACCACCGAGTGCTGTGCCATCCGTGTCATCTTGAGCACAGCAAGACAACACTCCAGACACCTCGACATCTACAATGTGTACCGCCCGCCCATCCGAACATCCGCCCAGGACGAGCGGGTCGACTTCTTCAGCCTGGATGCATTCCCGAGCAATGATGCCACTATCATCACGGGAGATCTCAACAGCCACCACCCTGTCTGGGATGTTTCTTGTTCAAACCCGGACAGGGTCGGTGACTCCATCTATGAGTGGACGGCCCGCCACGACTGGCAGGTGCTCAACTCCGGGACCCCCACACGGGCCGGCTACGGGGAGGACGCCCGCCTCTCAGCTCCTGACGTCACTCTGGCGCACAGTGACCTGGCCCGGCGCTGCACGTGGGAGGTCGGCACCGATCTGGGGAGCGACCACCTCCCGCAGCTGGTCGCGGTCACCACCTCGGGACACCGGCCTCGTCGCATCAGGAAGACGCGCTGGGCCTTCCATAAAGCCGATTGGACGGCTTTCACGGCCCGCTGCGAGGAGACGATGGCTGACCTGACGCTGGGAGAGACCTCGGTGGAGAGACTCGCCGCGCGTTTCAACGATGCTATCATCGAGGCGAGCGTGCGGTGCGTTCCCCGGGGCGCCCGGGCGGACCCCAAGCCGTGGGCGCTCGACCCGGAGCTGGTGCGTGCGGTGGAGGAACGGAAAGCGGCAAGAGCAGCCGTCCAAGAGGACCCGTCCCCGGAAAACCAGACGCGCTGGAAAGAGAAGAAGAGGCACGCTGCAGATGTCGAGGCTGACGCCAGGCGCCGCGCGTTCCAGGACTTCGCGTCTACCGAATTGAACCGCCGCGCGGCCTTGGGCCGCGTCACAAAGATCCTGCGCAAGATGGAGGGTGCGGTGACGGACACCTGCCCCGGCCAGGCCATCAACGGGGACCGCGGCCAACTCGTCGCGGAGGACCGGGCCAAGGCCGAGGCGTTTGTCCGCACCTACGCAAACGTCAGCAGCCACACCCGTCACAGGAGGCGTGATCGATCAGTGAAGGCTGATCTGAGGGTGGTGAAGACGCGCCCCTGCTCATGTGCTGGACAGCGCGATGGTGCCTGCCAGCCCTTCTCCAGACAAGAGATGAGGACCCAGCTGAGCAAGCTGAAAATGAAGAAGGCTCCCGGCGCTGACGATGTATGTGCGGAACACCTCAAGCACCTCGGGCCGGTGGCCCAGGCCGCGCTACTGCACGTCATCAACAAGTCGTGGAGCTCCGCTGAAGTCCCCTCGGTATGGAGGAGAGCAATCATCATACCGATCCCTAAGGCCGGGAAGGACCCTCAAGAGGTCACTAGCTACCGTCCGATATCGCTCACCAGCCACGTCGCCAAGCTGATGGAGCGGATGGTGGCAGCTAGGCTCACGCACCTACTGGAGCGAGACAACATTATCCCCGCAGAGCAGGTCGGTTTTCGCCGCGGCCGCTCTGCAGAGGAGAACCTGGGACGACTCATACAAGAAGTCCAGGACGGGTGGAACCGGCCGCCACCGAAGGGACGCCCGTCTGACGGCAAGACCGCCGCCAGGTTCGTGTTGACGGCCTATGACTTCTCCCGCGCCTACGATGTAATTGACCATCAAATGCTGCGACTGAAGATGTCCCATCACCTTCCACGGTGCCTTGTCACGTGGATTCACCACTTCCTCCGAGACCGACGCGCCTGCGCGGAGGTCAATGGGTCACGGAGCCGGAACCGCCCATTCCGAGCTGGCCTGCCGCAGGGGTCCGTCCTCGCACCGACCCTGTTCACGCTGTGGTCGGCGGACCTCGTGGCGGCGCTGAAGCGGATCCCGGGCACCTCTGTCTTCCTGTACGCCGATGACACCGCAACACTGTGTTCCGGCGGTACGATAGCGGAAGCCAGGGACCGGGCTCAACAAGCGGCGGATGCCATAGCGAAATGGGCCCGCGACTGGAAGATGCGGCTGGCAGGAAGCAAGACGCAAGTTTTAGCCCTGTCGCAGCACTACGTCGACGCCCGGGACCAGTACATCCACGTAGACGGGGCACGAGTGGACGCTGGGAGACACCTTCACCTTCTCGGTGTAACCCTGGACCGGCAACTTCACATGGGCGAGCACTGCGCGCGCGTCCGGAAGAAGACCAAGCCGAGGATCGCACAGCTCCGTAAGATGACCGGGCGTTCCTGGGGTCTGCGGGAGCCACAGCTGCGAGTAGTAGCCAACGGCTACATCCGCGGTGCCCTGGAATACGCGGCGGCTGCATGGCTCCCTGCGGCGTCCGAGTCCCACGTAGAGCTACTGGAGATTGAGATGCGCGCCGCAGCCCGCGTTATCACCGGGTGCCCCGTGAGCACGCCGAGGGACCCGCTCCTCGCGGAAGCCGGTCTGGTTCCCGTGAGAGCACGCCGGGACCTGCTCGCTGCCAGACTGAGCTGTCTGGCAGCCTCACAAAGAAGCGGCGACCCACTGCGCGCGGTGGCCGAAGCAACGGCCCCACGGCGGCTCCGCACCACCACCGGCTGGCGCGACACGGGAGCGCGCGCCCTGGTGAGCGCGGGCGTGCGAGATGTACCTGTGGAGGAGCGCCTGCACGTCACCATC